CAAAATTTCGTTCGTTACCGTTTGTGTTTGTTTGGTTAAATTAAATAAACGAGTTTGTGTTCATTCAGTTGATTTACAGACCTGGTTCCGTTACTATTTAGGCTATCATATTTGGTTCAATTGCTCTTGATACGAGAATATTCCGGTGCATCTTGGTGCATCCCATTAGTGTTGATCTTCAATTAGGATTGATTAGGGTTCATTTATTATAATTTGGATATTAATGAAAGATGATTAGAGTTCATTTATTATGATCAACTCTTTATATTAGGAAACAATCAAGATATTTATGAAACGACATATTCACTAAATTAAATGGGCGGTTGGATAATAAATCACCTCTCTCTCTCTCTCTCTCTCTATATATATATATATATATATATAAAAATTTAATTCATCTTTGTATTCTCTCTCTAACAATGTGTCTTATTTTGATTGATGATTTGGGACAAGTGAGTTTTATCATAAAAGCATTACTATCATAAAGCAAAGCAATAAATCAAGACAGTGACTATCGTACCCAATCATGGCAAGCAACTAGAAAGTGATCTAAACCACAAGTCCGATTCCATAAAGGATACTTTGAAGCAAGCTTATTGACGTAACTCGTAGGAAGAGTGAAAACGGCTTGATATTATGCGAGTTGGGGACAAAGAGAGCACATTGGAGTTGACGAGAATTGTATGGCAGATAGAAAAACAGTTGGTACATGAAACTATGTTACGGCTAAATGGAGCGTAAAATTAGCTTGTGATGGTCTAAAGAGAAACAACATGTTAGTGATGATCTAAGTAACTAATGCCGTTTTGTCTAGTGATTAATGAAAATTGCAACATTCAACTTATAACTTGGGGGTTGTTTGGTTGGTTTTCCATCAAGTCATGTATGGATAAAGTTGTGTGTGTGGATTGATCTGTCTGTATAGATTGAAAAGATTGAAAAAAAATTGTGTTCTTGCACAAAGCTCCCCCCTAGAGGCTTACCGAATAAGTCACTTTCCATATCATTAAGCCACTACCAAAGAATCATGTGTAGTTGACCGAATAGGCTGCGAGTCTCATTATGCTGCTAACAAACAGACCCTTAGTTTTATGGAAGTGTAATTATTTGTGAAAAGACAAAATACTCATCAAGAATTAAACAATAGAGGAATCTTTGCAGCAAAACCAATTCCATCAATAATCTATAATAATGACAATAAGCATTTGACATGGGACATCCTGAAATGAAAATGGTTGCAGTTTTAACGGTAAGATGTA